TCTCGCTCACTAGGACCGGAATTCGGTGGTTCAATCGGTTTGATCTTCTCTGTAGCAAATGCAGTGGGTGCAGCTATGTACATTGTTGGATTTGCTGAAACTGTACGAGATCTCCTAAGGGAAGCGAGCATGAAGATCATTGATGCAGGCATGTGGGACGTACGGATAGTTGGATTCGGTACGTCTGCGCTTTGCACATGTCGAACATCACCCAAGAAGAGGCATCTTCGGGAAGAGTCTTGCCCAAACTTCATTGTGATAATATTTAGTGACGTGCATAGTTCTGATGGGTATCGTTTTCATCGGAACGGCATTCGAATCCAAAATGCAGATGGGTTTACTAGTAATATTGGTGGCTTCGATCATTGATTATATGATTGGCTCCTTCCTACCGATAAACGAAGAGATGGAATTACGAGGAGCTACAGGATACAATCGTAGGTTTTAATTTTTCGATTTCTAAAATCAATGAAGTTAAAATATATTAGGTTTTTCACAGTCTCAAAATTGTACTGTAGAATTATTAAAACAAGAACAATTTGTTGTTGTTTTCAGTCCCGACCTTGATAGAAAACTTCTTGCCATCTTTTCGTGGTGAAGATTTCTTCTCAGTATTTGCCGTCTACTTCCCTGCAGCTACAGGAATCATGGCTGGTGCTAACATAAGTGGCGATTTGGCAGATCCTCAGGTATCAACTTTCATCGATTGCACTTTAATCCCTACCAAAATAGTCCTTGTTTGGGAGCACCCATTTTATGCCTTTATTAATTGCAATAAAGTGATCCCTAAACTTATACTTTCAAATTTCTGGTTTGGAATGAGCAATATAAGTTCCCTTTCGAATCATCCCATAAATCTGAAATAAAAACAAATAAAATCCTAAAAGCTAAAAATTGTTTCCAGCGTGCTATTCCGATAGGAACACTTCTCGCCATAGGTGTTACGACAGTCATTTATCTTGCGACAGTTTGGATGACAGGATCGACATGTGTCAGGTGTGGAGTTCGATTTTCTTCTCCTTTTTTTTGGAATTTTGGAATTCCTATCTTTATATAGTCTCTGTTGCCGAGGAATTTGCTGCTTTATGTACCATTACCATTATATTATTTTTGTATATTTTATTTTTCACAGTCTCTTCTCTCGCTTTGAAGATCATATTCTCAAGAATGATGAGAATGATGAGTGTGATAGCGCCTTATTTTGGCGCAGAAATAAATAAATAAATAAAAAGACAGACTCAAAAATGATCATCGCATGTTTGTGCCTATTGATACATGTTTTGTATCTAGGCACCTTGACTGTTCTTTTACTTTCTATTTGAACATTGGAATCTGACGAGTTTTGATCTTTGTCAATAATCTTCCCGACCGTTTTTCGATTCCATTGGACAGTTTCGCCCTGTGCTATCATCCCATCATATGTTGGGCGAACTTAGTTCTTTTAGATCCGTCCGCCAGACATTTTTTGGTCCTCACTAATAATTCGTGATCAGATCAGAGCAAGTTGTTTTTGCTAGGACCCATACGGTGAACAGGATTGCGATCGCTTCAAAGAACATTCTGAGTCGAGATACAGATCACTTTGTAGGACGGTTCCATCTTCCTGCGACATGGGAACATTACTGTAATTTAGAAAGAGATGTGTTGAGGGGTGCACTTTGCTATTTGCGTTGCCAAATAAATAGTAGGCTAATTGT